TACTCAACTTTTCTGTTACTGCCCCATGAATCACCATTATTATAATTTAATAAAGTGTTATTGTCTCCATTTTGTTGAGAGTACTGTGCAGAATACATAACATGCAGGACCCCTGTTTCTAGGATGTTTATGATGACAGGACTTCTAGTTCTAATACTTCAAACAGCAAGCATTCATCAAAAGTTCTCCTAATCTGAATTCCTAATGAGCATAACTTTAAGTCCTCCAATAATCTTTGAAGGTTTGGTGAATATCACTGACATCATTTTTTTTTTTCTCAGAGATGTTCTTTGTGTATCACTTTATACCCATGGTACTTGTGAGATGCTCGTCTTTATTATGTTGAGTTATTGGGATTTTGCTCTTTAGAAGCAAAAAGGGATAAAAACTAGTGAGAATTAGGTGGGAGATACTCTTTATACTAACTTTGGTTTGCCCAAGTTTTCTATTAAATCTATCTACCAACACTGGGCTGGTATCCAGCTAAGTATCAAGACAAGAAGAAATACACTTTCTCATATTTTCCCAAATGTTATCTTTGTTTAACTTTATGGGCATAAGTAGGGAGAAGAACCTACGGAAGTTGTGTTTGTAGTTATTCATAAATGCAGGTAATCATAAGTGAAAGAGCTTTAAAACTGCAGGGAAACATCTTCATGTATTAGAGGTAAAGTATCAATTCTTACAATGAAGTTAATGAAAGTATATTTTAAACAATTTGTAAAAAGATAGAGGAGCTCAATTTCTCTATGTTCTATAAAGCAAAATAAAACCAATTGCTGAAGCTTTACTAATAGCTGACATTCATTGCATGCTCACTAGATGCCAGGCACTGTGCTGAGCTCCTTACATGGATGATCTTGTTCAATCCTCCTTAACCCTGCAAGGTGGCTACTATTATTTTCCTCATCTTAGGCATGGGGAAGCTGGCATGGAGAATTTATCAAAGGTACTCAGAGTCACAGACCTGGTGAGCAACGGAGCAGGGATTCTCATGCTGGCCTGTCGGGCTTCGAAGTTTGCACTCGGTCACTGCATGATGCTAATTCTCTCAGGTTTATTTCAGCCCAGGGTCCAGTTTCTTTTCATTAATGTTGTAGGATATGAGAATAAATGACATGTGCGGGTCAGGCAAATCATTCACTTCGTTTATTTTCTCTTCTTAGTTCATTAAGAATTAGATTTATTTCCTCCAATAAAATGTGACTTTTTCTTTGTATTCCATATTTTATTTCATTTCACTTGTTATGCTAACAGCCTTTTTTGCCTCCTTTTCCTGCTGAGGTCAAGAATTCTGAGGAGGGGAATATAATCTGTTTTTTTGTTAGGTAAAGGCTGAATTTGTAAATTAAGTGGAAACAATATTACTTTTTAATTATTAATTTTTAGTTAATAATTTCCATTTTTCTTTAGTGCAGTGATTCTAGGAAAATCCTACTGTTAAATACATTTATTGACCTAACCATCATCACCACCATCCCATTGCTGAGGGGATTGCACAAGATAGAGCCTATAAATTTCAGCTCTAAACTGTTATGCTAAAATCAGTACTTCTATGAAAAATACCTTCCTCTGTATTGTCTGGAAGTCACTGCCAGGAGTGGAGGTCAAATAGGTGAACAAGTTGGTGTTACAGGCTGTGGATTCCTTACTGGTAGGGGACCCTTTTCCCCTTCTCCAGGCAAAATGGAGCTGCATGAATAGCGGTTACGTGTGGACTCAGGTGGTCTGGGTTCAAGCCCAGTTTTGTCACTGAATGACTGTGTGATTTTGGGTAAATTACTTAATCTCCATGTACCTTAGTTTCTTCATCTGTAAAATGGGACTGGTAATAGTTCTTCCCTTATAGGGTTATTAGGAGAGTTAAATGAGGTAATATATGTATAGTCTTTAGCATAATATCTGGTGTATAGTTAAGTGCACAATAAATGTGAGCTGTTATATTTTATTAAACTGTCATTCAAGGGTTAATACTACTTCTCCATGAGGCATTAAGAAGACTACACCAGTCTGTGGCTTAAGAGATAACTTGTTCAGGCTCAGGCAGCTGGGCCACTGGGGACCTGGGGCTTTGCTCACCCATGAGATTTTGGATTTCCACCAGTGGTGCTGCAGACCCCGAAACTCCCCTTCCCCCACCCTCTTCTTCATGGGGGCAGTCTTGATAACTGGAGGTGAGGCTGTGCCGGCCATGTTATTGTGCATTCTTTATGAAACGCCACCTCCCTGCGCCCCGCCCCGCCCCAATTATTCAACTCTGTGCAGCAACTGGGCTCTTGTGTTTATAAGCCCAGAAATCTTGAGTCACCAGTCGGGGCCTAACACTCTTATGGGTGTACTGTGCATTCTAGAGGCAAAAAAAAGAAAAAAAGAGGAGGGGGAGCTGAGGAGGTAGGTTGTGCCTGTGAGGGCCTGTTCTGTAGACAAGATGAATGTACAGGACTGAATGTGCATCGGAATGAATGAATGCACAGGAATCGAGCTGACTAGTTCATCCATGAAGCCCCCTGAGAGGTAGCATGAGGTAATGGAAAGAGGATGGGTTTTGCTGTCCAACAGAGTTTCAACTCTTGGCTCTACTGATCCCCAGCTGTGTGACATTGGACAGACTAACCTCTTCAAGCCTGTTCCCTCACATTTACAGTGGGATATAATTGTCGACTACACAGGTTGTATAAGGATTAAATGAGATCGCACATGTGAAAGCCTCTAGGAGCACCTGGTACCTGTCTAAACATGCAGTGCATGTTGGTTTCTTTTCCCTCTAGGGCTTCGGCCGATGCAAATTCTTCTTGCAAGTACTTGGAGTATGTTATATAAGTGAAATGAGCTGTTAGCAACTGGAGGGAGAAGTCACTGTGGGTGTGCCTGGAGGGGAGAGGGTGAGGCCAGGCTTCAAGAGACAGGTAGGATTTGGATGGTCAACAAGAAGAAAGGGAAAGTGCCCCCAGAACAAAGGGGTACCTGGCCAGGCGGTGTTCTCTGGGGGAGAGGAGAGCAAAGGGTCATGTTCAGAGGGGCTGCAGGTGACTGGATGGGGTCAATTGGAGACAGTGTAATTCAGCTCCAAGTCCTATTCCTGTTTTGACGTTTACAAGACATGTGACCTTGGGAAAATTGCTTAATATCTCTTTCTGCCTGTTTTTTTTAAAGAAAAATAATTGTATTTTTTAAGTGTACAGTAAAATTGACTTTTTTTGATACACAGTTCTATGAATTTAACACATGTATAGATTTGTGAAACCACCATCATAATCAGGATTCAGAACAGTTCCATCACTCCCCAAATCTCCCTCATGCTCTCTCTTTATAGACACATCCTCCGCCATAATCCACTAATCTGTTCTCCGTCATTAAAACTTTGTTTTCTCTTGAGAATGTCACGTAAATGGAATCATATAGTCTGTAACCACTCAAGACTGGCTTCTTTCACTTAGAACAATGTTTTTAAGATTCATCCATGTAGTTGTGTGTATCAGTAACTTGTTCCTTGTTATTACTGAGTAGATTCCATTATATAGATATACCATAGTTTATTCACCTATGAAGAACATTAGAGTTGTTTCAGGTTTTTGTCCAGTTCTCAGTTTTATCATTTATAAAGTGGGTTGACGTTAATAATTGTACTTTCCTTATAGCACTATGAGAATTAAGTAGGATAGGGTATATGTATGTGTATGTATATATATGTGTATGTATGTGTGTATATATATATATATATATATATGTATCACAATGTTTTAGATAGGATGGTACCGAGCAGAAAAAGAAGTATTGATCAATGAAACAAAATGAAGAGTTTGGAAATGAGAATAAATATTTTGTATGAGATATAAAGCATGTTTTTAAAGCAGGTAGGTAGGGAAGGAGAACTTCTATCCATCCCTTCCCCTAGGTAATCTCATTCAGTTCCATGGTCCAGTGTTTTAAATAGAGTAGCTAACTGTGGGGACACAAGTTGCAATGCCTGGATTCAATTACCAGCTCTGCCAGTACTAGCTGGACAAGTTGCTTAAATTCTCTGTACCTTAGCTCACTCATCTGCAAAGTGGAGATACTACTGGGACCAACCTCACAGAGTTGTTGTGAGGGTTAGATGAGTTAATATATGCAAAGCCCTTTGGTTGGGCTCTGGCACATAATATGTAGTATTATATGTGTTTAGCTATTCTTATTATGTATGTATTTTATTTTATTTTCAGCTTTGTTGGTGTATAATTGACAAAACCTGTATATATTTAAGGTATACAACTTTATTTTTGTATATACATTGTAAAATAATTGCCGCAATCAAGCTAATTTTTTTTTTTTTTGGCCGTGCTGTGTGGCTTGTGGGATCTTAGTTCTCTGACCAGGGATGGAACCTGGGCCCTGACAGTGAAAGTGCCAAGTCCTAACCACTGGACTGCCAGGGAATTCCCACAATCAAGCTAATTAACATATCCATCATTTAACATTGTAAACTGTTGTTTCTTTTCTTTTTTGTGGTGAAAATACTTAACATCCACCCTTTTAGAAGATTTCAAATATAAAATATGGTATTGTTAACTGTTGTCACATTGCTGTACATTCCACTTCTAGAATATGTTCATCTTGCCTAACTGAAACTTTGTACCCTCTGACTAACATCTCCCCATTTCCCCCATCCTCCAGCTCCTGGCAACCAGCTTTCTATTAGCTGTTTCTATGAGTTTGTTTCAGATTCCACATATAAGTGAGACATGCAGTATTTGCCTTTCTGTGTCTGGTTTATTTCACTTAGTATAGGGTCCTCTGGTTTCTTCTGTGTTGTCACAAGTGGCAGGATCTTCTTCTTTTTAAAGGCTGAATAATATTTCACTGTATATATATTCATTATGTATGTATTTTAGATAATGTGTGTAGATTATGCCAACTACACAAAAGAGCATTTAGGTTCTCAGATGATTTCAAGTTAGGATAGGATGGGCAAAGACCCTCTTTCCATTTTATTTGTTTCTTTTATGCTGTTCTATTTTCAGGGCATTGCTCCCAAAATAGAGTTTTCTACGAGGACAGCCATCAGAGAACATGTGTTTCTGCATAGAAACAGATTTCTTGTAAGTATAATCGAGAAGCCAGTGATAGAAGTGTTAGAAATTTTCTCCACAAATTTAAAGAATTTCAGCCTAAACTCTGTTTACCAAGTTTAGATGCAACTGGACAAACAGAAACCTGGAGACTTATTGCTAGGTTTGAATTTCCATAGTCAAACTGTTTGTTCAGCCTGTCACATTAGAGTATGTTTGGCATGTATTCATCATGGCATAATTGGTGGAACAGAATGACCCAGAAGCTACGATCACAAGCTTGATGTGTCGTTTAGTTAGCTTTTGTTGTTGTTCCATGACTTTTACTCTTGATTTTATCAACAGTAGTGTTTCCTTCTTTCCTGTGCTGAGGCTGAAGCTCAGAGTTGTATTTGTGGGCCACCTTTGGTAAACAGTGAGGGTCTTGGGGCATCCATGAGCACTACCTTCATTTTACTCTCTTGTTCAGCCCTAATTTCCCCTTCACCCTGATTTCTTTCTGTTTTTGTTTTACCTTATTGTCCATAATTTTGCAACCATGTAAAATCGTTTCTAAAATGATATAGAGAGTTAAAGAATATAGTTTGTAGACCTCACCTGGAGTCCTAGAAAATACCTTGAAAATGTGGGCTTTCGGTTAAGAGGTACTGAATGAGAAGGGTCACTAATCTGTGCAAGTCCATTGGTCCCCTGGGCACCATAACTCATAAATGGGAAGCCAGTGGTTAATTTTCAGGAAGGTAATAGCTGCTTTTTAGTCTCTCCTTATTTACCCACTGTTTTCTCCAATCTGTTTAAGTGTGCACAGTGATCTTTCAGTTCATTATTCTTTTTCTTCCACTCCACCATTTTAATCTTGTTTTAATCTCCTAATATAGGTCTTCCTATATTAACTTTTTTAAGTGTTAACTTTTAAAAATAATAGTTTTCATTGTTTTCCTATAACACAACTATCCCATTTATTTTATACAATTAGAAAATACAGATAAGAAAAAAGGACAAAATAAAAATAAAAATTACCTGTTATTCTTACTATCTAGAGATGAGCATGACTACTTTTTTGAATATATTCTTCTGTACACACACACACATACACATATTGTTTTAATTTTAGAAGATTAGGATCATACTACACTGCATATTATTTCATATCATATTTTCACTTTGAATGTCATGAACGTGTTCTCATGTCCTTAAGTATGCTTAAGCCAGGCAATTTTTCATGGCTTCATACTATGCCATTGTACAGAAGTACCATAATTTTTGGCAATTCATTTTTCTGTTGTTGGATACTAAGCTGATATATTAGTCAGGGTCCAGTCTGGAAAAAAAAAACCATACCTGTTACTTTAACAGAAAGATTTAATGTAAAAAAAAAAAAAAAAAGAGGGATAAACGAGGGTTGGAGGACTGAAACACTGAGTGAACACTGAAGTGATGGAGATAGTAACTACAGGAAGCAGCTTCCACCTCTAGCGTTGGGGGAACAAAGGGAAGAGGTTGGGTCATCAAGAACATAGAAATTGGAGGAAGAAACCCCATAGAAAGGGCACCCAGACATGTGGGGAGGGGCTGCTCTCCCGGGTGTTTCCTCATGATTTCAGAGGGGAGACTCTGATGTGCTGGGACTCAAACCTCTAAGGAGGGACCCTGCTCATTGCTGCTGTCCCAGGAGCTTGGAGGAAGGATCCTGTGGGGCTAGACTCAAATCTCTGAGCAAGGGGCTCTGGCCATCTGGTGCTGTGAGGCCAGTTTTGGATTATGGTAGGAAAAAACTAAACTGGGGCCATTTGCTGCTGTCAAGGTGAAGAATGGTTGCTGGGGTGATGCTGACAAGAACAGAATGCAAAACTGGAAGTCCCTGGGCCCTTCCTCCTCCTCTAGTCTTACGGTCTCCCTCTAGCGCCCTCTAGTGGTGGAGCCTAACAGAACAGCTGGAAAAGCCGAAGGGGGTTTGCAGAGTGCCAGGTCCAGTATCATAAAGCTGAGTGTAGAAAGGTGGGTTTGGAGCGGAAAGGAAAGTGCTTACTCACCAATATAGTTGGTTTCTAATTTTTGAAGTGTTCTAAGAATTTCTGCAGCTATACATATAGCCATAATTATTTCCTTATAATAAATTCCTTGAAGTGAAATTGCTGGACCCAAGTTTACGCCAAATTCTCTCTCTCTCTCTCTCTCTCTCTCTCTCTCTCTCTCTCTCGGAAGAGGACCCCAAACACTCTCTCTCTCTCTCTCTCTCTCTCTCTCTCTCTCTCTCTCTCTCTCTCTCACTATATTTCTACATCTATCAGTCATCTGTCTATGATGGGGTGGGTGGGGTTTCCAACTTTCTCATAATGCAAATAAATCTCAGTGCTAATAGTTGAAATATACTAGTGATACTAACCTGACCTGAAGAAAAATTTTTAAATGCCCTTCCTTAAGTTCATGTTTTATAAATCTGAGATGTTCAATCTTCTACCTTAGTTAAAGTTCAATTAAACACAGTTATATTCTGATTGACTTTTCTTTAAAAATATTGTTTCTTTTTTGGGTTTTCAGGAAGAAAGATGTAAGTCACGAAGGCCTTTATCCACATCAAATGGACCAAAATTCCCCTTAAGTAGTATAAAGATGAAACCAAGGGAGAGTAATCTCGACAGACTGCCCCAAGGCATGCAGTCCCGGCCGCCCTCTCCATATTTCACCAGGCATTTCTTTCAGGACCAGCTAGCTCAACTGAATCTTGGAGATAGTTTCAAAATACCTGGAGAAAGCAAACCTCCATTTGTAGTAAGACATGTGAGCCTAAAATTATTTTTCAAAGTCCTTTGGAATGGTGAGGGTGTGAATGAGGGTGGAATAAAGGAAGGTTGGACCATGAAAACAAATGGGTAAGTAAATAAATAGAGGAAATTCAAATTGAATGACAGCTATGATTAAATTATGTTCACTTCCTAGAGTCATTGTCAGGAAAGATGTCTTATGCAGAAGACTTGCTTAGTAAATGTCTGCCATCCCTATTTTTAATTTCTGAAAATTATTAAGAGTGTTATCTACATATGATAACCTGCCACTGTCCAGAAAAATCAATGAAATGTCAGTGGGAGAAGATGCATATCAAAGGCTGGCATATACTCTGTACCAATCTGAAACCAAAGCCTCATCTGTTTTAAGAAAACTGGTTTGAATTTTCTTAGTGAGGTTGTTGCTTAATGGCCACACTTTTAAGATCAGGAAACATATGTCTGCAGGAAGATGCAATGATGTGCCACAGTCAGAGCCCTTAATTAAAGTTATCTTATATCTAGCCCTCAGGAAATAGTAGGCAAATTTAATCACACTTGTTCTCATAGTCTCAAGATTTTTTGACTACTGTAAAATTAAAGGAAAATGTAGAAGAGTTCAAGAGTTCAAGACACAGGTTCACCAGAATAATAAAATCATTGTTTAATTTGATACATTTCCTTTTGCATTTTTTTGGTATTCATAATGCCTTAGTTTTTCCCACAAAGTTGTAATTATACTGTATATACAGATTTGTTTCTTGATATTTACAGTTAATATTACATTAAAAACACTTCCAGTATTAGTTCATATTTTTCATGAACACCATTCCACATTCTAGTTCATGACTTATTCTTCAGAATGTTAACTATTGATATTATTGTCAAGTTGATAATTTGACTTAATGATGATGTTTGTGCATTAGACACAAGAAATGAAGCGTGGTAAATCTCAAAGGCAAGGTGCTTTTCAGATGACTGATATAGAGTTGGTTTTTAGGTAGAACAGAGATGTTGTTTGGCTAGAAAGTATAGGATAGCTGTTTTCTTCATGGTGGCCTGGGTAAAAATGTCTGGCAAAATCTAGCAACCACTTTTTTAACGTGGCTTCACACAAATATTGTTGACTTGAGTTTACTGAGTCTGATTTATATCATTTGACATAAGTTTTTATAAAATACAACTTTAGTGTATGCCATTATGGGCTAAATAAGCTTAAAATCTTGGAAGTTTTCTTAGGGAATTAAAACTTGCTTGATACTTTTATTTCACAAATTCTTATACAGTCTTTACTAATGTGCCAAGCTCTTTCCTAAGTGCTCTTTTATTTAGCCAGATTTCCTGATGATATCTGAAGTTTAAGTAGCAGCATTAAAATGTAGAGGACCTGATATTGTCAAGATTGTAAATTCTAATCAAAGTATTTCTTGAAGTAGATTGAAGAGTAATATTATAACATGCTTTCTTGAATTTAAAATAAAAACAGAAATAAACAATGTTACAAAGAAACTCCAGCAACTCTATGTCATACGTATTCTGGAAGAGTCTCTATTTCAAGTATTTTGACATGTTGGCAGATCATGTTGGCAAGTGTAGGAAAATACGGTTACCTTAAGTAAAATAATACAGTCACCCCTGTTCTTTTTTTCAAGAATATAGACACTCAGACTGGAAGGGGATGTGAAAGGCTGAAATGTCACCTTGTGAAAATCCCTTGTCTTCAGGGAGGACCACACCTAGACCAGTACTGCTCAGACTGTTTAGGAACATGAAACTCTGTCTGGTTCTAAAAGAATGTGAAATAAATGTCACTTGCTGTTTTCTGGGCTGGAGCCTTACCAGTGGTTAGAATATGATTTGTGCCTAGTGCTAGGCCATGTCTTCGTGTTCTAACCTCAGTGAAGGTAGGGACAGACAGGTTTCCCTATTGGGTATAACATTTTATATACTTGGAGACTGTGATTTAATCTGTTCCCAACCTCTTTTTTTCACCTGCGTGACTGTGACTGACGGGGAGAAAGGCATTACAGGTAACGAGGAGAGGGTAATACAAGCTACAGTGGGTTCAAGTCTCATTCCTTTCCTTTCCTTTCAGGTGGACAGTGCAAAGCCCTTTGGTGAGAACAGTTCAGAGCATCATTCCCAGAAGTCTAGAAGAAAATCTGACTTTTCAAACTTTCCATTTCCAGTGAGAAGAGGTACTTGAGTTTCTTGTTATTCCTATACAGTTTCCCCATGGGAACGAATGCATCCTACCTACCTCTAAGTCTTCTTTCATTCTGAGGAATCACATGTTTCTCTGGAAATTCAAGGCTTAATTCTCAGGTGCCCTCCCGCTGTGGAGTTTCCAGGGAGGGAGTTCCCATGAGCAGAGTCAGCTGAGAAGCTGTTTCAGAGTTCCCCTAGCTGTTGAAGGAGACTGCTCTGAGTAGTGTGACCACTGAGCGTGCTCTGGTTGTGGTTGTTCCCTGGCTGGGCTGGAAAAGCAGGGAGCATCTTGTCCTGGTGGAATCTTCTTGCTAAGGCACCACTGATAGCTAACATATAGGACTCTCCATTTCTCTGGATAGGAAGTAGCAGGGGATTGTTGGAGATCAGGAGATGCAACACTTATTTTACAAGATTCCATGTCAGCAAGGAGGAGAGGCAATTTGTCTGAAGCAGTGAGGTTAAGGCAGGGGATCTCAAATGTTTAGATTTCAGTACCCTTTTGCATTAAGTATTATTGAAGACCCCAATGAACTTCGTATATGCAGGTGATATCTATCAATATTTAGTGTTAGAAATTAAAACTGAGAAATTTGTAAAATACAAGAATATACAAGCACACATTCCATTAGCCATCAGAGTGGTGACATCGTGACATATCATGTAGCTTTTGGAAAACTCCATTATACAGTTGTGAGAGAAAGAGAGTGAAAAAGAGATTAATATTATTAGGAGAACAGTTTTGATCTTGCAGAGCTCCTGAAAGGTCTTAGGGACCCATGGGGAGGCCCCTGGATCACACTGAGAGGCATTGGGTTAAGGCCTCCCTGGGAGGCCTTTACTTTATGATTGAAATAAATGAACCATGTCAATACTGAAGGTCAGGGCAGTGAATTTCAACCATTCCTGAATTAATAAAAATTCTTAGGCTAGAAAGGGATGGTGGTGGCCCATTCTCTTGACTCTTGGTGAGACTGGACCTGTACCATCCCTGACAACAGGGTTTCCTATCTTAGGCTGAAAGGTTTATACTTTTAAGGGGCTGCACATTCTCTTGTGGTAACTCAAGCCGGTGTCCTTGAATCACTGTGACTGTTCTACAGCAGCAAACCAAGGACAGAAGACAGGGTTTGAAGCAGAAAGTGCTTCATCACCTCTGACATTTAAGTCCTTTGGATTGAAAATCACCCATGTAGCCCATTAAAGCAGCACTGTCTTCCCCATTACTGTGAAATCAAGCAACAGGAAATGTCCTTTCCCAGGGAGGACAGTTGGGCTTAATGCTAGCTCAATTACAATGGGACTCATATATCACATTGGTCTCAGCCTTTGTCTTTCTTAATCCTGGCAGGTGGAGAACTAAGGTTCCAGAGAGGTTACAGAGTGTGTACAGGTCACACACCAAGTTTTTGGCATACTTACATTTAGAGAAGACGTTCAGACCTCGGGGCTCAGATCCTTGGAATCCCTGTAGCTTCCAAGCCAGACTTTTCCTTAGGTCACCTGTCAGCTCACTCATTCAGGCCTAAGGTAGAATAAAGCAGTGCTTCTCAAACTTCAGTGTGAATCACCTGGGGACCTTGTCAAAGTGCAGATTCTGATTCCCTAAGGCTGGGGTGGGGCCTGGAATCCCTCTTTTCTAACAAGATTCCAGGTGATACTGATGCAGCTGGTCCATGGACTACACTTTGAGAAGCTAGGAAACAAGGGCAAACTCCCCATGAAAGGGAGTTTTCAAAAATCAGTAGCAAGGGGGTTCCTAGGCAACAGGGCAGGTTTATGGTTATAGCTGAAAAGGGGCTTAGCATTACCAATTCCCTGCTCAGCTGGGAGTTGGGTGGAAGAGAGCTTCTGGGACAAGATGCCCACACACATATATGCATGCCCAGAGGATATGACAATTAGCATGCTTTAAAAAAATCCCTTTTTATATGTTTCTTCTTATTGTCAGTGGCATTGGGGAATCAGCAGTCCCTTGTCACTGCCTAAGCCCCAGTCATGCTGGGGGAAGCCATGGTGGCCTTAGCATAGTCTTGCAAATACTCATTTCAAAAGCATTTTTTTTTCAACCTGGAAAAATCCCATTTATTCTTGGTTTTATCTGTGTGTATTTATTACTTCTAGTAATTCTTACCATTCTCTGGCATTAGGTCTATTTACTTATTATGATTACTTGGGTAATCATAATGATTTACACTTTTGCTGTGTTGTTTTTCCAAGCTCTTATGTATTCATTTTTGTATCTACCTTGGACAAGTACACTCAAGAGTTTCTGCATAAGTAGGATTTTATGTAAACCAAATATAAAGGGAATGCCAGAAGAGGTAGAGGGTATGAATTTTACATTGAGCCAAATGGCTTTCTTTTAGGCCCTGGGCACCTGGGCAAATAAGAGTTTTCCAGGCTGCCCAAGGGCTACTGAACTTATTGCTTCACTTTAGACCCCCGTTTACTCTTCCTGTATCCATACATGCTGTCATTAATATAACCTCATTGTTGACCTCAAGAGGACAGTAAAACTAATAGATAAATTGCTGTGACTTCAGGAAGACTTAAAGGTGATGGTATAATTTACAAGGGAGCACTTAAGTTCTCTGATAATTCATTCATTGTGTAATATTTTTGTACTGCTGTGGAATAAATGTAACAGCAGCTTTAGGGGTAACTGGTAATAATGAGTCATTGAAACACCTGTTCCTCTTTCTTCTAGCTTCTTCTCTTGACAGCCTTGCAGCTAATGTAAAGGTAATTTTAGAAGTAGCATTTGTAAACTGATTTATTTCCAGCTATCTAATGTCAATTATTGTGCTTTCTCCCATGAGCGGTGGAAAGTATATTTCTAGCTAATGCTGCTTATGGAATTCCTGTAGTTTAACTTGAGTTACTTTGCTTTAGTTGGTTTATTCCCCTCACATAAACTCTTTTCATTTGTAGGATGAATCACCAGTGAGGGTGTATGTAGGCCCAATATCTACTTTATCAGTAGGGATTTTCATTACTTTTTCTCTAATCGAGTACCTTTGTATATGAGATGGTAAATCACTTGTTCTTAAAGTTTGATTGGTTTATTCAGGTGAAGGTGCAGACTTCCATGTTACAACATGAGAATGGATATATGCAACGAAAATGGAGTACACTGAGCTTCCTTTGCTGTAGCAGTTAAATATTTCGTCTAAAAAATTATGTCTTTCCCAAACCCAATAATCTCCAGTCCTCACAAACCAAAGCTCAGAGCATGAGTTTATTTTGGCTTGTGAACATATGCCAAATGTACAGAATTTTGGTTATTTTTCCTTGCCCTTCACTGCTGAGCATTTTGTCTCTAGTCTTCTCTACTCCCACCCTTCTTTTATTTGCAGGAGATCCCTGTGGCAGGTATTCTATCATCTTGCCCCCAGTTCTCTTCCCTGTCCCACCCGGCCCCCAGCTGTAAATTAAGCAAACCAAAGCAAAAACTACAACTAACGATTAATGCACATTGTCACTCAGGTTATCAAAGAGCCAGATGAACGGATTGTTTTAAGGAATGAATCACCATTATCGTTAGATTCAAGTAAGTTTGGAAAGCCCTTGGCCAGGTACAGTCATCAAGCGGAAGCCGATTTCCACTGGGGAACTTCATTTGCCACCTCCCAACACTCCAGAACTCCCAGCCCTCTTCTGGATCAGCCCCTTCTCCGAGAAAGGTCAGCAGCAAGCACCCATCTCTTTGCTAGAAGAGTGCCTTGTGGTCTGGCAGGAGTAAAGTCAGGTCACTTCATCAGTTTGCTTCCTTAGGAATATTCAGCTGGGGATACCTTGACAGGAAAAATTATTATTTCTTGAAAAATAATCCCAAAAGTAAGAATTGAGACTTTTCTCTTACCCTGGAAAGCATATCTCAGAATGCTTGTTGAAAATGGGAGAGACAGCTAACTTGGCATAGGTACTATTTATCTATCCATTATTATCTGTCATAAATTTTAGAACTCAAGCTTTTGGTTTCACCAGTATAAAAGAACTCTCTATCGAAAGTTTGGAAATTAGAGAAAAATGAAAAGGAGTGGAAAAAAAAAAATCCTGCCACCCAAAGACAAGCATGATTAATATGTGGGTGTATTTTCTTTCTCTTTTTCTAGACATGGTTTGTTGGCTTGTTTATATTATTGTCACACACACACACACACACACACACACACACACACACACACACACAAACCCACAATTGCGTATGTCTGGAGGGCAGGCCAGAGATTGAGAGCAGGAACCTTTATTTTCCAAACTGCACTCCCAGCTGATGTGACTAACCATCCGGTTTGCCCCAGACTGTCCTGATTTTAACCCTGACAATCCTGCATTCTGGGAAACTTCTTGGTCCCAGGCAAACCAGGACAGTTGGTCACAACTCCAGTGAAGTAGCACAAAAGATAATAGTTTTAAGATAGATGTTTTGAATGAAAGATAGGCCAGTCTGGGCTTCCCTGGTGGTGCAGTGGTTGAGAGTCCGCCTGCCGATGCAGCGGACACGGGTTCGTGCCCCAGTCCGGGAAGATCCCACATGCCGCGGAGCAGCTGGACCCGTGAGCCATGGCCGCTGAGCCTGCGCGTCTGGAGCCTGTACTCCGCAACGGGAGAGGCCACAACAGTGAGAGGCCCGCGTACTGCAAAAA